CACTCTGTGTTTCTCTCAGGAGCGCGCCCTTCCCTGCGGTATCTTCATATGTGCCGTGTGCTCCCGCGCACAGCACCGCGGGGAACAGGAAGGGCGTTGTGCACGGAGCCTGCAGGGGAGGCGGGCCTGGCAGGCATACATAGGCTCAAGCCCACCAGCCTCTCTGCATGAGAAGGAGGAGGATTCCTGCTCCCTTAGATTCACAGTCCCTTAGACACCCAGAGGGACAGTGCCACGCTGTCCTGCAGGGTCACTGTGAGTCAGAACAGACCCGACGGCAGTGAGTGTGTTGAGGGCAGCCTTCAGTTCTCACCGGAGCCCACCCCTGTGCCCCCACCCGCCTCACTGTGGGCCTCTCAATAGGTCAGAGAATGACATGCTAAGTACGAGAAACACACCTGGAAATGGTTAAACACCCAACTTGAGGTATTCTTCCAGCCTCGCTCTCGCTTAAGAGCAAACAGGAAAAGCGTGGCTGGGCCAGGTCTCCGCCGTAGAAACGGTCACCAGCCCATAGAGAGCCAGCCAGTCAGTGTGGGCCGTCCGGGGGCTAGTGGGTTCTAACCACCGACCTCACGGTGAGCAGCCCAGTCCTTACTGCCTGTGGCTTGTTTGACAGCAGTGGTCTGGGGCTAAACTGGAAACATCTCCGAGGTCGGTCTCTCTTCCTCCAGAGGCCCGGCTTCTCCAGGGAGCCACATGTGCACACAGACACACACACTCGCACACGGCGCGCTGGCCACCTGCTGCGGCCGTGCGTTCAGGGTGCCCCAGTGAGACCATGGAGGGAGATAGGGTCCCTTTGCCACGATGAGACGTGTCTGCATGAGCCGATGGCCTGAGCCTCAGTGCCACCACCCGCTGTCTAACGGAGCTGAAGGACTGGGTCAGACATGGCGTGTCTGCCACAAGGACCCAGCCCCTGGCCCTGACACCCTTGTGTGCAGCAGAAAGAGGAGCCACCCATCACCAGCTAGCCTGGACCCATCTCCCTGTGCCAGCCCGGCCTGCCCAGGGGGCCCTGTCCCCTCCAGTGATCGACCCCTGCCAGTGACCCGCCCACAGCTTGCCCCTCACACGAGGGTCGGGGGATCTGGGGAAGGCAGTCCCCGGGTCTCTCTCCCTAGTCTGGGAGTTCTGCCAAAGCCTGCCTAGCACAGGTGTCCTCTGATGCCTGGATCCCCGGGCTCAGCTTCTGGGGTCGCGGCTGGAGCCCCTTTAGACCCCCGCAGCTGCAGGCTGATGATGCGGAGGGTGAGGTGGGCAGCAGGGAGGCCACAGGCTGCGGGTGTGGGGCGGGACAGAGTTCCGTGGCTCTCGGGCAGGTGGGAGCATGCCAAGAGGCTGACTCCCAGGTCAGTGGCCCCGTGAGCAGACACTGCGTGGTGGCCAGGTGGAAGGCTGAGAGGCAGAGAGAGAATTTCCATCTTACTGATAGACCAGCTGGGCTGCACCCCGACACTCTCGCACAGGGTCAGGCTGACCCGCGCTCTGACCGCCTCAGCAGTGCTGTGAGCTGTGGGAAGGGCCAGGATGTCAGGAAGAGGCAGTTTCTGGGCCTGTGTCACAAAGACACAGAGGAATCCCAGTGGACACACCTGTGGAGCACACCGGTAAGCACTGGGCTGCTCCCCCAAAGTTCGGGGGTTCAAACCCACCCAGTGGTTCTGCCAGTGGAAGGGCTGGCAGTCTGCTCTTGTGATGCCAGAGCCTCAGAGACCCCATCGGGCAGCTCTGTTCAGACACAGGATGGACGCAGGGCACCCAGCAACGTGAGGCCCCACAAAGCCAGCCCGGGCAGTCAGGCTCACTGCCACCAAGTGGATGCCAGCACACAGCCCCTGTGGGTTCCCAGGCGGTAACTCTGGGCAGGAGCATACAGCCTTGCCTTTCTTCCTCGGAGCGGGCTGGTACGTTTGAACTGCTGACCCGTGGTGTGAAGAGCCTGTGACCGCCAGGCGGGGCCACCCCTTAGCCAGCCGGCAGAGAGCTGTCGGTCTGCACCTGCTGTCCCAGGAGCTAAAGCCCCCGGCTGCGAAAGGGAAGGAGGGCAGTGTGGACCATGTTAGGGCTTCCACTGCCATATCCTGATGCTCAGAGCAGGAGGCTGCAGACCACACCTGGTCTTCTCACATGAGGGTCTGGGATGAGGCTTTGCCCCCAGCTCACCCCACCTCAGGGGTGGGGGGTGTCTGAAGAGCCCTAGTGGGCAAGAGCCAGGCTGCTAACCATCAAGCCAGCAGTTCAAACCCACCAACTGCTCCCTAAGAGTGTTATAGGGACAAAAGGGGCCCCAAATCTCACGTGTCAACTTAAGGAGAACGTCATTCAGTCTTAACCAGGACAAAGACATGTCGTCCAGATGAGGGGCCATCAGCATGAGGGTTTACCAAGGGCCGGAGCTTAAATGGGGCAAGATGGACAAAGGGCATGCCCCAGCTAGATGGACGGGGACTCATGACTGCTCCTCTTGTGTGGCAGCTCCATCATGGACACACCAGGATGCCCCCAAGGAGACACCCCATCCCTGGCTGGTCAGGAGGGTGGGGGTAATCCACATTCTCCTGCACTCTGCCTAAGGGCAAGACTTGACATCCCTGGCTAATGGTCACAAGGAATTCCATGGGGGCTTCATCTGCTTGGGGACCCTGCAAATGGATGGGGCTTGTCCTCCCCAGTCCTCTGCAGACGGTGCTTAGGATTAAGCTCTGACACACCTGCTGCCAGCTAGCCCCTGGCCCCTGGCATCCCATCACCTGGCCTGTCTTCCCTCAGTGCCCCTGGCAGGAAGGGCCTGGCCGGAAGGATGCTGGGGGCTGTTGGACCAATAGCTGCCCTGAGGGGTTTCCTGGGGACCGTCCTCATGAAGGCAGATCTCTGCATCTCCCCAGCAGAGTCTGCTGGGTGCAAACTGTCTACCTTGACTTAGCAGCCAAGTGCTGTACCGGTTCATGACCTGTGGGACATATGGGGCCCACCTGCACTTTCTGAGTTTGGGGGTAACTTGTTACATAGCAGCAGACTGACACTTGATGCACCAAACCGACTTACATTAAACTCCTAGAAATTACGTCTATTTATTCTTTCAGCAAATGTCTTCCCAGAGTACCTCTCCTGGGATGGAGGACAACCACTACACAGGGTGTCCCAGGTGGCCTCTTACGTGAGCCGCTCAACGGCTTTGTCCTGCTGCATGGGGTGGACTGCCCGCCTTTGGTTTATCAGAGGAGCTCTTACACCAGGGCTCCCTCCTCGTCCCCAGTGCTGCCCTGACACAGGAAGAACGGGCTCTCCTGGGTGCTCTGGGCTAACTCCTGAAGGGGGTGGCCAGCACTGTCCTCAGACGCGCTCCTGGCGGGACGTGAACCTTCAGCCTTCCAGCCCACATGATCCATCTTCACCACCTCCTCAGGACTGCTGTGGCAGAGAGGGTGTTCTGGCAAGAACTCTCCCCTCACCCACAGCTCCCAGCACGGCTGCCTGCCCTAGTGTGCCGCAGGGACGCAGAACCCAACGGGCCCAGAAGTCTTGATGGACACTCTGGTCAAAGATGCTACGGAGGAATACCGATCAAAAGGCTGGGGTCTGTGAAACAGTGAACATTCTCACGGATTCCAGACTTCCCGGAGCTATGGAGTTGGGTGACTCCCCAGATGGCTCCCCTGAGGCCATCTTTGAACTTTCACCACGAGTAGCCCCGGAAGCCTCTTTCAAGCCACAGTGAGGAGCCGGGTGGGCAAGGAACGCAGCACTGAGCAGGTGCTGTAGGGAGGAGCTTTCTACCTGGGGTCAAGCGGCCAACAGCACCTGGGAAGGCTCTGTGGTCGGCTTGGGGTGTAAGGGTCTGCTGGGGTGGGGGGGAGGGGCAGCCCGGGGAGGAGGTGAAGATGACCACCCCACGGCCAGCAGCTGGTCCGAGTTGCTGAATCGCACGAGGACGGACTGGACTGTGTTTGCAGCCTTCTCAACAGCGACAACACAACATAAACAACTTGAAACAGACAAAGCGAGGGTGGCAGGGCACCGCCGGCCGCTCCCGTGAGGATGTCCCGGAGTAGGCTGGCAGCTTCCGCCGCGGGATGGGCAAGGCTTTCTTTCCCCTGGAAGGGAGAGGTTCCCACCGCGCCTTCTCGGACGGCTCCTGGCCATACGTGGCTGTCCCAGCGCCTCACCTGGGCTAAGGACAGTGCCCTTCCCAGCCGTGAATGCAAGAGGCTTGTGCCCCAGGCCCAAGGGGCAGTTCTGGGGGATTTCTCCGGGGGCCAGCGAGGGGCTTGTTTGGACCCCTCCATGTCCTTTGCATCTTCTCTTGAACTGGAGGCCCAGAGCCCTAGGGTGTGGGGCTGGGAGTCGGGTCGGGGGAAGACCTGGGGGGTGTGGGGCTGGGAGAGTTGGCGAGGTGGGGACGGGGAGGACCCAGCGCCCAGGGGTGCGGGGCTGGGAAAGTCAGGGCCGGGGGAAGACCCGGGGCTGTGTTGCTGGGAGATCAGGGGGTGGGGGCGGGAAGGGACAGATTAAACACCAAGCCTTTCTGTGGGTTCCGGGTGTTCTGTCCAGTGGCCAGACATGAATTCCCTGCCCAATTGCCCCTCCAGGGCTTTTCTGGGGGGTTGCCTCACCCCTCCACTGCCCTGCATCCCCCACATCTGCCCAGATCATCAGGGGGTCCCTAGCCTGGTGGGGTCAGGAGGGTGGAGATGAGCTTTGGGGAGTGCTGGCGGGGATACCTGCCCCCAACCCCGGACAGTGTTATTTGGTACCCCGTATGCTGCCAGCTCAGACCCCCACCCCCACCCAGTGGAATCCCTTCCTTCTAAAATGGTGGAGCACCAAGGCAGGGCTCAGCAGGGTGACTAGGGGGTGCTCTGCCCTGGTCCCTGTGGCTCCCCATCCTGGATGGCCTGATCAGGGCTGCACCTGATGTTTCTGGATGCGGGGGGGGGATGTCCCTGAAGCCATCGGCGGTGACGGTGATGCGGCCAGGGAGACCAGAGGCCGGCTGTGAATGCTTTGCATATTTTATTTTTCGTTTTTTTTTTCTTTTTTGATTTTCAACTCACACACGTCTGGCGTTATGTTACATCTTTGAGATAAAACATGGTTACGATAGCGTGAGGGGCTGATCTGTCCAAACAAGCCACCAGGCTCTCAGGGTCAGGTGACCTGCCTGCCAGTGCCCGGTGGGCAGGGTCCTCCTGTGGACTCTGGGTGGCAGGGGCCTGGGTCTCCTGTGGTTCCCGGGGGTCAGAGTCCCCCGGACACACGAGCAATGGAGGGAGGGGTGTTGCGCCAAGACTGCCCCCAGGAGCAGTGCCCGCGGTGCCGGCCTGTTCCTCCCCACGCCCAAAGGTGAGTGGTGAGTTTCGAGAACATCACATTCCTGGAACGTGCCTCGGAGCACGACCGTCTGCACATGCCTGCCCGGAACATGCCATGGAGGGCTGAGGCTGATGCCACGGGGACCCGCCGCCTCTGGCCGGGGCCCAGCCTCAGCCGACTGTCCCGCAGGACCCAGCGAGGCCTGGCTCATCCAGCCAAGCACACCTTGTTCTTAAGGAAACCGATGACAAACAAGCCCGGAACAAAGGAGAGTCCCGGGCAACGCTGCCCATCAGGTAGCTCCCCGGGCAGGGCCTCAGGCAGGTCCCGTGGCTCCCGGTGGTCCCGGGCAGTGCCCCCAGCCCCTCGGGCTCTGTCTCCAGGTCGTGGTGGGCGGCGGCAGGATGCGCCTCCTGGTCAGTAGGGCCAGGTGTCCAGTAATGGCTTCGTATCCAAACGCCTCGTGAGTCAAGGGCTCTGGGAGGGGCAGGCTTCACGGGAGTGCAGACACCCACAATCCGTGAGATGCTGGAAGCTCGCACTTGAACCCGCCGACGAGCTGGTCTTGGTGGGCGGGGGGCACCTCCCCGGGGACGCGGTGGAAGAGCATGCAGGCTGGGGTCCACAACAAAATTAGAAACTGTTCTTTGTACAGGTTTGACTGTTACAAAAGTATCCCTTAAAGCAGACGCGTCCGATGTACAAAGTATCAAACGGTGTTCTGGTTTCTTCTCCTCGGAGAGGAGGCGGCTCAAGCTCAGGGGGGCCCCTCCCTTCTCCGGAGAGCGGGGTCACGAGAAATGGCCGCGGCACCCCTACTCGGTCACAGGAGAGAAGCTGGCTGGGGCAGCTGGTGGTGGTCCCCGCGGGGGGCTGGGAGGGGAGGCTGCTGCAGGGTGGTGTGGTGGGTGCTGGGCAGGTGACGGAGGAGCCGTGGCCTCGGCGTCCCTGGCCCTGTCAGTACCTGTTCTGATGCTCATAGTGCCACCGGTTGAAGTCGATGTTGAAGGCCACGATGCTGCCCGAGGCCATGCCTGTGATCAGCGTCCTGCGCAGCAGAGACTTAATGTCAGCGCCCACCCCCCTGGGCCTGTGGGCCATGGCCACCCTCCCCCACCCGGGCCCACTCCTGCCTCCTGTACCCTGGGCACGACCCCTCCCTCCAAGGCTTGGATATGGTATCCCCCTGGGCACTGCCCCAGCCTAGTCTCTGGCTGTCCGAGTGCCCCTGCGGTCTCATGCTCTGAGGGCTGTGCCCAGTCCCCCTGTCAGCAGCGACCCCCCACCCACCCCCACCCACGCTATCCTTCGGCCCTGCTGTCTGCACCATTATAGCAGAGAAACACCCCGCCCTTCTGGGTGGGGGCGGAGGGGCTCTGAGGTGGGGGACCTTCTCGCAGGCCCTGGGCCCTCTGCTGACAGATGGTGGTCTGGCTTTTGGGGGACAGCCACAGCAGGACCCCAGAACTCAGACACACTGTGGCCTGGGCCCTGCTCAGACCCACCGCTGCCACCAGCCGGCTCTAACACACAGCGGCCTGGCAGGACAGGGTGCCCTGTCTTCGTGGGGACTCCCCCCCACCTCGTCCTGTTCTCTCAAGCCGCTGCTAGACGCCAACGCTGACCGGTGGTGAGCAGCCCCCGGCACTGGCCACCTGGCTCCCGGCAAAGACCAAGCCAGTCTCGAGTGCAGCTCCGCTCAGACCAGACTGCCCTTGCCCGGTGCGCTGCCACGGCTGTTGGCTGAGGGCCTCGGCTGAGTCTGACCACCCAGGAAGGGGCTTTCTGTGAAAGCTGCCTGCGGGTGTCTTCACCCTCCGCCCCCCAGGGACCCTGGGGGCACGAGAAGAGAGCACCCTGCTAACGAGCTTCCTTGGCCTCTGGCACACAGGTGCTCACGACCCCCCAGGACCTCACTGCACAGGAGCAGCTGGCCAGAGCTCCCCGTGGAGCTGCTGGTGTGAGAACGGCTGGCCTGAGCAGCTCAACCTGCAGGGCCACCAGGACAAACCGTGGGCAGGCGGGCTCCCGGGCACGGAGGGACCTGGCAGTTCCTTCCACGGGTCCCTCCCTCCTTGCTCACCCCTCTGGGCTCTGGGTGGCCCAGCTCACCTCTGGTCATGGGACAGGTCCATGGCTCGGATGCCAGCGTCACAGCCTGGGTAGATGTACAGCTGTTTGAAGTCGCAGGCCTGCCAGACCTCCACCACACCGTTATCCCCGCCCGTCACCAGGTTCTGTCCATCGCTGCTCAGGAGGATGGCCTTGGGGAAAGGGGACAAGAGGATGGCCTTAGAGATTGGGGGGACAGGAGGGTGGCCTTGGGAACAGAAGGTGCAGGAGGATGGCCTTCGGGACAGCGAGAACAAGACGGTGGCTCTGGGGGCAGCGGGGACAGGAGGGTAGTCTTGGGGACAGAGCTTTCCTCGCTGGCCAGGGTGACAGCTGCCTTGGAGAGTGAGTGGCTCCTCCTACAAGCTCTGACCAGACTTCTCCCACGCAGCCCCCACCACGCTGCTGTGGCTTCAGAAAGCGCTACAGGCACAAGGCTCCTGACTGCGTGCTCGGCCGCTGAGACCAGACGCTGTGGGATTGAGTGTGGAGTCTGGGCAGTGGGACTTGTGGCTAACTGCAGGCGGTTCTCAGGAACTGGGGTCCAGCCGCCCCGTCCCTGGGGGCAGAGCACAGTAAGCCCCAGTGGGATCTGCCTTGGGCTCCGCCGGACAAAGGATTCTGGGTCATCTAAGCGACTCTCCACGTCGTGGGGGTCCGGCTCCACACTGGGGGTGGGGGTGTCCAGTCACAGGGAAGGCCACGATGGAACCTCTGCTGACCGGCAACCTTCCTGAGGCCACGACAGCTTCCATCGAGCTGCCTGCTGCCCACAGCCGCTTTCCCCAGGAGGCCCGGTGTGGACTCACCCGAGTGGAGTCATTGATCTCCATCTGAGCCAGGAGCTTCCCGTTGATGCTGAAGTTGCTGAAGCGGCCTCGCTCGTAGTAGATGATGCAGTGGCCTTCGCTGGACACGGAGATCAGGCGCGGGAACAAGCAGCTTGCTGGCCCGTCCAGGGCCCTGAGCAGGTCCCCCGTGATGGTGTGGACAAGGCAGGGGCCTTCTGCAGGGGGACAGTACCGAGGCAGAGGTGTGAGAGCCACAGCCCCACACACCCTACGCAAGCGCCTGCTCAGACACATCGCAGGATGGCGGCGAGGGGAAGAGTAGTGTCGGCAACTTCAATGCTGCACACGGGGTGCCCGTGATACACACGTGCGCATGCACACACAGACACATGTACACACCCATACACATGTACACACATACCTGCACCTGACACACACAAACACATACGTACTGTGGCAGTTACATAATCTCCTGCCAACTTGAGGGAAGGGGTGGAGTCTACCCTGTCAATCAGGTCACAGCCAATGCGGCCTCTGTGTGGGCGTGGCCTCCTCCTGAGGATTCTGGGAACTCCTGTCTTCCTCCCTGGAGGCGGGACACACAGACTCTCTGCTACACATTCCTGCTGATAAGTAACATGGAGCTATGCTGATGGAGCCAGAGCTCTGGGAACTGGAGAAGCCACATGGAGACCCACGCCGGCGCTGAGATGCTTCCACTGCCATTGGATCCACAAGAGTTAGCACCCACTGGCCTGTAATCTTCCTGTACTTGGTGTCACTGCATGGGTTGGGTGAGTCTGAAGAGGAATTTATGGACTAGTATCGGACATATAGGCTAATATCGGACTTAAGGACTTGATCTGGACTGGGATGTTTTCTCAATTTACAATTGCTGTGATATAAAGCTCTTTCTTACACACAAGTGTCTATGGATTTGTTTTAGTATACCCAGACTGCACATGCGCACACACAGACACATGTACACACCCATACACATGTACATACATCCTGCACATGCACACACACATGCACACATACATACTCATACACATATAAACATACATGCACACACACATACATACACACGCACACATATATACAGATACCTGCACATACACATAAACATATATTCATAGACATGTATAAACATGCCTGCACATGAACACACATAACATATATTCAGACATATACACACATACCTGCACACGCACGTACACATAAACACACATGCTAACATGCATGCACTCACATACACCCATATGCACAGATATATAAAAACATACAAACCTGTATGTACAAGTAACACATACACACAAACACTATATATACATATGCACACATTCAAGCACACTCACACGTGTGCACACTGACACATCCACACATACATATAAAGCCACACATACACGCATGCACACACACACCACCTATGTGAAATGACAACACCGTAGAATATGCTGCTATGAGTTCCAATGGCCAAGCTTCTGGAGGCAGCCGAGTGCTCAGCTGCTGTGCCCCAGGGCCCCCTGCCAGGGTGGAGACCCAGGGTCCCTGATCTCCCCGGGGACTCAACCTCAGCAGCAGACCCCGTCTCCACCTGGTCCCAGCCCAGGCTGGTCTGAGAGGGAGCCGCTGGGCAGCCTGCTGGGCGCCCACGGCACAGCCTGACTGCATGCTGGTCCTCTCGTCCACGGCTACACTAAGGGCTGTGCCCACAGGACACAGTCCAATTCCCTGCGATCTAACGCACCGGGGTCGCAGCCTGCGTCACATGGGGCGTCTTCCCCTGCAGTGGCATCGTGGTAAAGTGAGACGGCTGCGAGGAAGCTGGGCGATGGCCCGGGCTGAGGCTCTGAGAGAAAGCTGCAGCGCACGCCTGGAGCGGGTGAGTGCCGCTGTTCTCCTGAGGACACGCAGAAGCACGCATGGCATCCTGCGCCTCCCACCGCCCTCTGCGCTGAGTGGCCCTGCTCACCTCCCTGTCCAAGGTGGTCTTCCTCACTAGCCTGAGCTGCCCGGGCCACCAGAGGAGCTGCTGCTAATTTGACCCTGTCCAGACAGTGCTGAGAGGGCACCGTGCCCTGGGCAGTCTTTTTACAAGAGAAACCTTGGGGGATGCTTCTGGTTTAAGGTTTGCAGATGGCTCTTCCAGGGGAAAGCCCGGAGCCCATGAGAACAGGGAATTCTGTGCCTTCCACATGCAGCTGGCCGCCTCTTCCTCCCCCCGGGCTCGGGCGGCTGGAGACCTGGCCTGTTTGCCAACGATCTGGACGAGGAAAGGCTCTGACCTTTAGCACCGCTGACGACGAGCCCCAGCTCTGCACAGACGGACACGCAGACGACCTCGTGGTCATGGCCTGTGAGGACGGCTCTGGGCGCGGGGTAGTCACCTACAAGAGACAGCAGCCGAGAGTCACCACCAACCAGAGCCATCGCCACCGCGATGCCCGCATGGAAGCTGCAGCCGCACGTGCACTGCTATGCGCGCCAGGGAGCTGGGTGCCCACGAGCGCTCCCCGGCTCGAGGAGGGCTTGGAGCTCCGAGAGTGGGCCTCAGACCACAGGCGAAAGGCCGACCGGTCACCTGGCACGCAACGAGTCCCAAGCACACAGGACAGGGACATGGGCACTGGCCTACAGAGTGGACAACCGCATGATGGGGGAGTCTGAAAGACGGCGAGAATGACCGGCACAGGACACAGGCACACGGTGAGCAAGGGCTGCTGGGAACACGGTGTCCGTAGATTTGCTCTGTGTGTGAAACACAGTGTCTGCCCAGCACAGCAGAGCAAGGCTGGCCTGCACCTGCTGCGATGACCGGGCGGGCCAGAGATGAGGACAGTGGTGATGGGCACTACCTGCTGCTGGACACAGGCTGCGCGTTATCCCTGGCAGCTGGAGCCCTGGTGGTGCAGTGAGTTATGCAAACTTCGAGGTCAACAGTTCAAAACCACCAGGACACTCTGAGGGAGGAGGCGGAGGCTGGCTGCCCCCACAAAGACGGCAGTCTCAGGAGCCCGCAGGGGCAGGTGTGCTCTGCCCTGTCAGAGGCTCGCTGGCAGGGAGGAGATTGTGGAGACATTGCTAACGCTGCCCACGCCGTGGGTCAGTTCTGACTCTCTGAGCGAGCCCACCGTCCTCCTGTCCATTCAGACTCCTCGCCACCCCCCAGGGCTTCTGAGCCGGGAGCTTCATGGGACAGGCAGTCTCCTCGTCCTTCCGCGGAGCAGCTGGTGGGTTTGAGAGGTGGAGCACACTCCCTAACCCGCAGGCCCGCAGGGCGCCGTTCCTAAAAGGCAGGCTCTGCTGGGCAGCTTCCTTCACAGCCCGGAGTCCAAGGCTTTTCCCACCTTATTCAACGTGCCTGCGTTCATACAAGCCATGGGCTGAGCCCCCCACAGAGCCAAAGCAGACCCCTTCCCATCGAGTCGATTCTGACTCATGCCCTACGACTTCTACTCACAGGACAGCGGAGAAGTGCCCCTGTGGGTTTATGTCCGAGACGGTAGCTCTTTACGGGAGCAGCCAGCGTCACCTTCCCACGGCCACATTCCCAGTGGGCTCAAAGCACTGGACTTAGAGTGAGCTGTGGAAGGGGGCGGGTCACTGGAAGGAAGGCCAGGTCACAGAACTCGATTGACAATTAACTCTGGACCATGTTTGTGGCATGTCTTTTACAAGAGGTACCCGGAAAACACTGGAATTTTGTTTTTCAAAACTATGTATTTAAATTTTTTTACAAAACTACCTATTCCCTTCTAAGTGCTCTCCATTGCACTTAATACATTTGTCAAATCTGCGAGTCCAGTCTTGGAAACATCTTTCAAACTCATCTGTTTGGATGGCTCACAGCACCTCCCTCTTCTTTTCTTCACCTCTTCTACATCATCAAATCGCTGTCCTTTCATGTCGCTCTGCATTCGTGGAAACAAAAAGAAGCCCCACTGAGTGAAGTCAGGTGAGTAAGGTGAGGGGGGCAAGAGAGGGATGCTGTTGTCAAAAACTGGTGCACTGAGATGGCTGCGTGAGCAGGTGCATTATGGTGGTGGCAAAACCAGTCCCCCATCTGCCACAAATCAGGCCTTTTTGTTCACACACCATCTTTCTAGAACCTCTACGTAGAAAGCTTGATGAACCGTCTGGCCTGGTGGAACAAACTCCAAATGCATGAGTCAACATTTTTGTCTGTTTGGGAAGTTGATGGACATCCAGAACGAGGTTTGTCATCAGTGGACATTTCACCTTTTTTGAAATGAGAACACCGCTTGTACACTTGAGTATTTCCCATAGTGCTGTCCTTGTAGGCTGTGTTCAACATCACAGCAGTTTCTGCGGCATTTTTCCAGAGCAGGAAACAAAATTTCACAGCTGTACCACTGTTCTCTGAAATCGGCCATCACTAAAAACGAGGTTCCAGCGAAACTGCGTTTAACAAAAAGCACTGTGTCCAGAAAGAACCTTCCCAGGGGACGTCACCGGGTGCACTAAGTCATCCACGCTTGCCTAGCAGGAAAAACGTGCCACGGAAGCTTCACCCAGCAGTGTCCTCGGGTTTTGGGTTCCTTCAGAACGCCCACGGTTCCACACGGCTCTTCTTCCCCACACTGCTGATGGCAGACTCACCTCATGGTGCCAGTGTTCTCCCATGCCCTCACTGTGGAAGCAATTATAGCAGAGTCCGATGGTGCCAGTTCCACCCGGCTGGCAATAGCCTCTTTCCTAGGCCCGCTCCCATCCGCCTCAGTCTCCCCTGGGAAAGGACCGTTGGTGCGGACGGTGCCTCATCTCCTTCCAGAGGACAGCAGCTCTCCCGGAGTTCTCGAGCGCCTTCCCTCTGCAGTGGTTGCTCTCCTAGTGGGGCCGCTCTCCCTGGGGCCAGGGATATGGCCTCCTAGATGATACTGTTGGGTGAAAATATTACTTTCCCATTACCATTTGGAAGCTCCTCTAATTAAAAAAACAACAACAAAAACTACCATTCATGGGGGAAAAAATCACGAGAACAGGATGCTTCCAGCAGGGAGTCCTGGTAGCATCATGGTTCCATGCTGGGCTGACCCACAAGGTCAACAGTTTAAAGCCACCAGCAGCTCCGTGGGAGAAAGGTGGGAGAAAGGTGGGCCGTCTGCTCCCGTAAAGAGCTGAAGTCTCAGAAATCCACGCTCCACTCCGTCTTGTCTCCAGTCAGCGTGGACTCGACCCAGTGAGGGACCACAAGGCCACTTCCACCCTGTCCTGCAGGGTCCCACAAGTGCCTCTGGGGTGGGTCTGTCTGTACACGGTAAGCATGAATGCTCTCCATGTTGGAAAGATTTTTCCCAAAGCCGATGTCGGACTGAGGGGTCCACAAGGCCCCATGTCACTGTCTCCCCAGACCTTCCGAGCAAACGGGGGGCATGACGACAAGGGCCGTAGTCTGGCACTCAGCCGACGGTCTGCCCTGAGTCGGGGCCCGCACAGGGTGACTGGGGACACGGCATAGGGGGTGCACACGCCCTGCACTTCATTGTGATGGTGCCACACGCCCCAGCAGTCACTCAGGCCCGGGGACTGCTCTGCCTGCCAACGTGACACTGCGTGATGGATGTGGCTCTGGGCAGAGGTCCGCGGCTGAGGGAGGTGCAGGTGAGGTGGGTCCCATCCCGGAGGACCACAGCTGCGCCCTCTCCGCCCTCCAAAGACTCTGCTGAAGGAGGAAGGGGCGAGGGAAGCGAGCACAAGGCTCGGGGCGCACAGGCGTGGTCTCCGCTCCCCTGCTTCAGCTCGGCACACACAGCCTCCTCGCTGTGACAGGGCACGTTCCCCCAGCAGTGAGGACCCACACGGGCCACGTGGGGACCTCCCACCTTCCTCAGGCAGGGGCTGGCCTGTGCCTGCTGTGAGAGCAACAATGGCTGAGCTGATGGGTCCCTTGGAGGGGCAGTTATAGACCGCTGCCGCCCAGCCATCATGGATGACGTCATGGACAGAGAGGGGGCGATGAAGCAGGCAGACAGAGTGACTGATCTGCCAATGACAGGCGCTGCCACTGTGTGGCCATCTAAGGACACCGCTGGCCACCTGGCAGTGATGGGAGCTGGACTAGGCGCCGGAGGACGTCATCTGTGACGATGGGGCGGGGGGAGGGGGTGTCACTGGGCAGTGGTGTCAAGATGTGGTGAATCTCCATTTTCACAGGACACTGGTCTTTGGAGCTGCGCGTCAGGAGTGAGGGGGCCGGGAGGGTGAGGAGCACTTGTGCATCCGGGCTGGCCGGGCAGCAGGTTCCTCACACAGATGTGAAGCAGGCTCTTCCTTGTGGAGGTGGCCCAGAGGCCGCCTGCCAGTGGTGTGGCCTTTCACCAAATCACCAGGGAGGAGAGTGGCCGCGCTCACTCTCCACAGGGATGGCCTCTCTGTGGAAAGTTCCAGAAACTGGAGCCCGTCCAGTGGTGGAGGTCCATCACTGCTGACTCACCATCTCAGAGCCCCACCCAGGTCCCATGCCTCCGGCCACCAAGGGCCCTGCCTGCCTTGCTGGAGGAAGACTGGCCCGAGGTGGACTCTCAGTCACTGTTAGCAGAGCGGCATCCCACGGCCACTAAGGTCTCCCACAGAGGACATGCAGCTATGAGCTTGCTGCCAAAGTCGATGGCGTGGGGTCCCCTCCTACGGCAGGTGCTCCACCTGCTACTCCCCAGCCCCTAACTGTACCAGGGGGCCTTTCCTGAGAGGTGAGGCAGCTCTAGCAGATGTGACATGTTCCAGGCTTGGCCAAAGCACAGTGGTCAGCCCAGGCCCTGGTCCCTGGCCGGCAGATGTGTGGGTGGCACACAGGGAGCAGTGCTGGGGTGTGTGCACGCGCAGTGGGCCTGTGGCAGGCTGGCCCTCGCTAACAGAGGCCCCCTCTCCGCTCTGCTCTCAGTAGAACCACATGTATGCATGCACGCATGCCCTCTGAGCCTGTGCAGGTTCCCTAGAAAAGGAGTGAAGTGCGGGCGGCGGCAGGCGCCTGGCCGGAAGCACTGGGGCTAGCGCCATCTGAGAGGGGGCTGGGCTGAGAATCCTGGCGAGGGGTGTCTGTGAATACCCCACAGGGGCTCCAGCAGGACGGGCGACACATCAAGTCCCAAGATCAGTGACGTGCTGACGGTCGGGCTCTGCACAAGCAGCGCTGACCCTTTCCAGGGCAGAGGGGGACCTGGACGGGAGGCAAGGAGGCCCTGAGGATCAGCAAGGCGCATATACCCGACGGCAGGCCCGCCACCAGCTGCTGGCTCCGGCATCCCCCCCCGCACAGGGGGCCGCTTCCAATTACAGCGTGCAAATTAGTTTTCATCACCTCCAAATTAGTTTCCTAATGAGTGTGGACGGTGGTGGCTGAAAAAAGCACTGTCCCTGCCCCTGGTGACCCGGCTCCAGCTCTGGCAGCACATCGGGGCACGAAGGTGCTGGGTCCCTGACCAGTGTCCTCTGCGGACCAAAGCTCCTACCATCGCTATCGTGACAATGAGGAAGGGCAACCAGTATTTCCCGGTGGTGGACAACCGGTCACTACAGAGCATGGACCCGAGGAAAGGACCACGCTGCCCATCCCCTTGTTGCCCTTAAGCTGTGATACCAGCGTCCACCCAAGAGCAAAGAGCCCACATCCACTGCCACCGAGTGGGGTCCAGAGCCCCTGAGGTGGGCGTGAGACCCCCAAGCACACAGCCTCCACGCTCTGTCTGGGATGGAGCTGGTGGGGGGCTTCCATTGTCTCCCTTTCCTCAGCCCAACGCCTCGCTCGCTGCACCACCAGGCTCCGCGGAATGAAGGCCAGGGCCCATCTGAGACCAGGTCAGGGGTGCCGGAGACCAGGAACCCAGACTATCACCTCCCGACACTTCAACCCCCACAGGCAGCTTTTGAGAAGCCCTACGACACGGGGCAGTTCTGAAGAACACGTGTCAGTGGCATTGCGCTCGGATCTCTGAGGGGTGGCCTTGTTCTTTCTGAGCTTGAGCACACACCTGCTGAGCAGATGCCACACGTGCACACACGGTCTATCTTAGGAGACTGACACACCTGCTTGCAGGTAACACAACGCAGGTGGTGACGAAGTTTACAAGCTCTAAACGTTGGGCTCCCTTCTTGTTGGCGGGTGGAACACAACTCCCACGCTTGGGAGAAATACAGCCACCGCTGGGGGTGGGGGTGGGGAGATGTTTCTAAGCACATGCCCCAGAGCCCCGCTAGGAAGGGAGGTGTTTCCTGGAAGTGACGTGATTGAACAGAGAAGAAGCGGGGAGGCTGGCACAGTCCTTTCCGGAGGAGGCCTGCCGACACACTGGTCATGAGGTGGGCTCCGTCCCTGGTCCCTGGTCGCTTCGGGAGCTCAGTGTGGATGGATGGGCTGTCAGACACACGGACGCCTGTCCTCCACTCAGGGCTGCGTCTCTGTCCACGACCGTGGGCCAGACACTTAATCCACAGCACTCTGCCCCCTGTGGACCCGTGTGTGCAGCAAGAGGCTCTGCTGGACCCTTCACAGACGGAAGGCCCACTGCCCACCAGCCTGCGCTCCCTTCCTGTCCCCGTGCTGGTCAGGGTTCACATGGCTGCAGACCCCGGACCCTGGCAAATGGGGTATCAGCGGAACTCTTATCTTATTGAGGGTCTTATCTGGTCCCTCAATCTCGAGGACTTGCATTGACACGATGCTAGCTTCGCGCTGACTGACACCCACCAAAGCAGGCCTGCTCCCAGCCCGCCAGCCTCCAGGGCTGCCGGCTGCCCAATACACCACGTGCTCTGCGCCACTGTTCTGGGGAAGCCCTTCCGCTTCTGGTGCACGCCTGCCGGTCGGGCTCCGAGCGGAGCCAGGCTATGGTGGGGACCTGTCGGAAGAGGGACTGGGCTCTGCACATGCTGTCAGGAGAGGCCGGCCCTGGAGCAGGACGGAGGGGCAGCCAACAAAGAGGAAGGCCGGCGACGAGGCGGGTGGACACTATGGCTGAAGCAATGGCACAGGCAGGCTGGGCAGTGCTTCACTCTGCTGGGCATGAGGCCACTGTGAGTCAGAAGTGACTCCCCCCTAACAGGACACCACCCCCGTCCACTGCAGTCAGTATGGTGGCCCTGACGAGCAGCAGGGACAGTGCCGGGGACTGCGGGGGGAATGAGGAACTGAGCTGGAGGAAGCACAGGACCCTGAGCATGTGGAAAAGGACGGCGTGGTGAGGGGTTGATGGAGGACTGTGGCTCAAAGGAAGGCCCTCGGCGGGAGGGATGGACGGAGGGACACAGTGGCTGCCACGATGGACCGTGAGGCCGGCGCAGGGCCGAGCTGTTCACCCTGCTGTGTGTGCAGGGGCGCTGTGAGCTGGCCGCCCGCCGCGTGTGGGGTGCACTCACTGCTGTTGGGGTTGTCCCCGATGATGTGGTGGCGCCCGCTCCAGTACCAGAGCAGCAGGGTGGCATCTCGGGAGCCGGACACGATGTAGCAGTCCCCACCGATGTACGACTCAGACCGGGCCAGGCACGTGACCACGTCCCAGTGGCCGAAGACAATCTGGGTCAGTTTTCCTGAAACAGATGCGGCAGGTGGTGTCAGAGTGGGGATCAGCGCAATGTCCCGCAGTTGGCTGTGAGACAGAGCCCCGAGATCCATGTGTGAGAACCTGGGGCTTTCTGTAAGGGGTGCGGATGTGACGCTGTATGGATTTGTGAGAAAGAACCCCGAGATCCACACGCATGGATCTAGCCACAAGGGCTTTCCCTCGTGGCCTTGGGGAGAGATCCAAGGAGTCCCCATTTCCGGGCAGCGACCATGGGGTGGGGCAGGCGGGGAGGAGGACCAGCAGCGCGGGGTGGAGGGAAGGTCCAAGTCTACTGAGGAATGACGAGTCCGTGGCGCACAGTGGGTGGCCTCCATGGGCCAGGGGCCTGCCCTGTTCACAGACTCCCATTGAGAACCCAGCACGTCACCGAAGGACAGATGCCGGCCCAGGATGTCCGGCAGACAGACAGATGCAATGACGGACGTTCTCCTTCGTGGCAGGGTGGGTGCCTCTGAGTGGGTCTGGGTCTGGAGGAGGCCTGCAGGGCCCCTGGCCCGGTGAGCCCGGGGACAGCCACCCATGGCCTCGCTCACTGGGTGGACACAGGCCCGAGGCTTGGGCGGTGAGCTGAGTAGGGCCAGACTGAGAGCCTGAGGGCTCACCTGTCTCCGTGGAGTACACGCGGAAGCTCTTGTCCCAGAAGCCACAGATGAGGACGTAGCGGTTGTCGGCCGTCACCACAAAGCAGTGTGCGTTGATCTGGATGCTCTGGTCCACCAGGTCGGTGATCTGACGCTTGTTCATGCCCGAGTTATTGGCTGCAAGCGAGCAGGAAAGGGGTCAGGGGGCGCCCGCCGAGCACCCCGTAGAAGAAGGGTGCATGGAGGCCATGTTCATGCAGGAAGGGGTGCTCAAGGCTTAATGGTTACTAAGATGTTCACATGCCCTGCTCCCGTCTGTCTGCCTTCCTGTGGTGGGCGGCACGATGCTGTCATGCTGGACGCTGAACCACTGCTATTCCAAACGCCCGGGGACAGGGTCACCTGCAGTGGGCAGGATTCGGGGCAGCTTCCACACTGAGAGCAGAGTAGGAGGAAGGCTGGGCCTGTCCTCTGCGGAGGGACCCACCCTGACCACCTCAAGAAGAGCAGGAACGTTGCCGGCGACAGCGCTGGAAGGCAGCTCTCGGGGTGGACGGGACTCAGTGCACACCTGCATCTGCTCATGGGCTCCCTCAAAACCAGCAGCAGCTGCCACACAGAGGCTGCCACCGGGTCAGGGTCAGGCCGGGCCTGCTGCCCTGTGCTGTCGGGGCAGCTGTGAGTCGGACAGACTGGACACGCTCCCCTTGGGTGATACACTTTTGCTCCCGGAGTCTGCTGTCTGCCTTGTGCTAGGGGCTGTTTGTGAACCACAGGGAGGCACTCTCTTCCTTGTGCCCGGAAAATGGGCAGGGGGCAGACACCTCATCGCCCGCGTCTGTGGCCATGTTGGCTTCTGCAGATGCTCCCTGGCTGGCTCCTGACGGGGAGGGGCAGACGTGGCCTGAAGGAACATTCCTTACAGTGACCCGATCTGTCACTGTCTGAGGGCACTGGCCATCCTAGGAGACGCCAGGAGGAGCCCGGTGGGGGAACGGCCCCACAGGGAGCTCCAGGCCATCAGCTTTAGAGACCTGACCTGTCAACAAATGGAAGGCTTCCAGAAGGGGCTGGCAGGGGACAGGGAGGGGAGGGGGATGTGGAGAAGGGACCCCTGGGGCTGCATCTGAATGAAGCCTCACAGAGCTAGCCCGCCCTGTGCTCCGCTCCCCACCTTTAGAGGAACCCAGGGCTGAATGCTACATGGAGACTTCAACCTACGGCCCACAGACAGGAGGGCCTCGTCTGACCCTGCTCCAGCCACGTCCAGGCTGGGACATGACGATGAGAGAAGGCGCACCGTGAAGAGGGTGCAGGAAGGACCAAGAAAAGAACAGCCCGAGTCTCTCAAGACGACCCGTCACTCTGGGGGTGCTGGCCGAGGTCCCCAAGTGCACATCCCCAAAGGACAGGCTGAGGGGTCTCACAGAGCCGGAGGGACCCTCAAGGCCGCAGCGCTAAGACACCCTCTGACCGCAGGGGAGCCCTGGGTGGACACTAGACGGGTCTGCAAATTAAGTAATGCCTCCAAGTGGAGTGTGTCCGGGGAACACTCAACATCTCGAGACTACGGTCGCAGGGACCCTCTCGGCCCAGCTCTGTGCCGGGCAGCACAGGGACTCGGGCGGGGATGCAGATGGGAAAGAGCTGAAGGCCTGCTGACCCCAACTCACAGGTGAGAGGACGTGCGTCTCAGGGAACCTCTAAGTCTCTGTTTGAAGCCCAAGGGATGGCCAGTTCCAGAACACGTTTGTAAGCATTCGTTCCCCAGAGGCCATGGATGGGTCAACTTCCCTATCTTTAAGGGTTTCACGGGACCTTGTGTTTTAGAGATTGCAGCGTGGTCAGTGTCCACCTCTTCCCCTCGTTCAGAGCCAAGGCGAACGGGCTCTGAAACACCGAGACATCAGAGCAGCCGGGCCGGTGGTGCTGTGAGCCGGCCGCACCCCAGTCTCGTGACATGTGGAAGGGTTCAGCCCCTAGTGAGGAATAATCACCCATGGGCCCGGAGGACAGGACGCAGTACAGGGGCCTTTTGCGGTGAACGTACCGATCAGCGGGTCCATTTCGATGGGGAGATGGTGGGCTTGGTCCAAGGAGTATCCTGGAGCACCCCTGAGGCCTGTGAAGGACAGACACATGCTGTGAGCTCCGCGGGAGGCACGGCCGCACAGGGCACATCGGCGGAGGCACTGACACGGAGCTCTGGTTCCCAGGTCCGCCTGAGCAGGGGCCACACGGGGGGCGGGGCAAAGGCGGCAAAACAGAGGCCAAGGGGCGGACTGTGAGCAGAGTGACGAGCAGGGAGCCGGCTTCCACGCACCTGGTTAGGCACAAAGTACTGCCACTGGGGTCCAGGTCCCACCAGCATGTGTGCATGCCAAAGAAAGCACGCGTCAAGATGCCACTGTGATGGGGGGAGGCTGCAGACAAGCGCTCTCAGGGCCACACTGGCCGGGTCTCCGCAGGGAGCCTCCAGCAGAGGCCCTGTACAGTAGCCCTGAGAGGCGACCTAAGGCCGCTCTGCTCATGGCCGGCAGCTCCGAAGGGTGTGGCGACTGCTCCCAGGGACAAACCCGGGGTCGTACTGAGAGTTTCTTGAAGGACATGGGATAACTGCAGGGGCCAGGGAGAAGGCCGAGTGCCACACCGGTGAGAGCAGGGTGGCCTGGAAGGTGCTCTGAGGAAGGAGCTCTGAGGAAGGAGCTCTTTCCTTGGGGACGAGGCGGAGGCCCCTCGGGTGGTGGCCGCTGTCCCAGAAGCATCTCCCTGGGGTCCTCGCCCATCTGCCCTCACACCTCGAGAGGCCCGGACCGCATGTCTGGGTGCCATCGGCTACCCTGTGGCACGGAGGAGCGCCGTGCTCCTCCAGCAGCATCGAGATGGCCGCAGTCAGAGGAGCAGGGGGTCACGAGGCGCCGTGCAGGGACCAGGGCTGCTGTGTCCCCGCGGCCCTGTGGCTCCGTGGCCACAGTGAGTTGCCCGCACGACAAAGCAGGACGAAGACAGAGCTCCCCAGAGTGTCAGCTTGGGCTCAGGGTGCTGCTTCCCGAGGGACGTCCCTGGGTCAGCGACAGGCGGCAGTACCCTGCCGGACCCTGTAGCGCTGACGCTGTGGACTGCACGGGTCTGCCAGGCTGCACACCCCTCGTGGGCGTGGGGCGTGGCGGCCCGGCAGTAGCTCAGGCAGGGCCCCGGCCCGCTGGGGCCAGGTGCTATGGGAGTCCTGATGGCGACTGATGGGTGGGTGCACCCGCAGGGCAGCCCGACGTGTGGGGCACCTGCGCAGAGCCTTCTCCGGGAAGCAGGGCCGGGTGGGTGCCCGAGGGGCCTCCTCAAACCCGTGGGGTGTTTAGCCCCATGCCGAGGAGGCTGGTTGGGGCAGTCGGAGGCGCGAGGAGTGTGGCCCTCGCTGAGGCGCCTTGGAGGAGCGGGTGGGGACCCGCGCTGCGCGGGGCACCCCGGCTCGGGTTTCAGCGGCCACCAGCAACCCGGTGAGCAGTTCTACCCGGCCCTGTAGGGTCGCTCTGCCAGCACCGATGGGGTCGGCGTGGGGCGGGCTCGCGGATGGCGTGGCAGGCAGCGCGCCCACCTTTGTGGGCGGTGAGGGTGGGGAGCACCTGGCGCCCGCACGTACCCACAGTGTTGTGCCAGCGGTTGACAGCGAAGAGCCTGCTGCAGGTGACGGTGACCACGGCGGGCGTGGTGAGGTGGGGCAGCGTGTTGGCGGCCACGTGGGTGACCGGGGAGTTGGACGGGAACTTGAGCACCATGATCACGTCCTGCTGCATCTGGTCCTTGAACATGAGTGGGCTCTGCGGAAGGAAACACTGTTGAATAGAGAGGAGGGAGGAGCAGAGACAAAGGAGAGCGGTTAGTGAGCGCCTGCTGCGCGGAGGACAGACACGCCGCCGCCGCGGGTCTCTGCGCAGGACGTGAGCGGGGCACGCTCCTGGGATGCAAGGAGACCCGCCCTGCCCAGGCCCCGCCCACGCGCTCACGTCCACGTGCCCCGCCCCTCTGTGCAGATCCAAGCGGCACCTGCTGCACGGGGACCAGTCTGACTGGAGCCACCCTGCGGGCAGCGTAGACCTGGTGTCCCCTCCGGCCACCAGCCGCGTTAACAAACAGACACCTATCTATAGACAAGCAGGGGCCCCTCTGGGACGGGAAACCAGGGCGTGGAGCGGCTTATAGACGGGCTGCCGCCGGGCCAACTTAACACAGTGCCGGACCCCGCTGGACCCCGCCGGACCCAGGGGCCGGGGCCTTGGCTGGCCTCAGGCCTCGCTAGCCCAGCGGGCAGTGCGTGCGTGTGCACGCGGTAGCTGCCTTCTGTGCGTGCCCCTGCCCCGCGGGCAGAGCTGCGCGGACGGAATGCAGCAGACAGACCCTGGTGCTGCACGGTGCCCACCGCTCCCGCACCCAGCAACCCCACAGCGCTCTCTCACAGCCACCTCCGGAACAGATGGCCAGGCCTTGCTCCCTGCGGCCAGCGAGTGGGTTTGCACCGATGGCCAACAGGCCGGCGGGACCCCTTCGGACGGCTCCGTGTCTGCAGTCCAGGCCCGGGTGTCCTTCCTAGACTGCCCCAGGCCGGCGGGCGCCATGCCCTCTATGGGCCTGACTTCTGGCCCACCGGGCCTTCAGGGCAGTGATTCTCACTAGCCTTGGTATTGGGAGGGCAGGAGACCAGCCTGGGAGAAGAACCCCACAGGGCTGCCTGACCTGGACGGCCAACGCTGGCCTGCAGGGCCTGTGGATGGAGGCCACGCGTGGGTGGCTGTGTGGACAGCCTGACCGAGGTCAACTTGTGCTGTCATGCCAAAGACGCACTTTCAGGCAAAGCAGTCTTACTAGTGCCTAACCTGGGGCAGGGCGGAGCAGGGCGGGGCAGGAGCCCCGCTGGCACAGTGACTAATAAGCCTTGTTGGCAAACTGCAAGGTCAGTGGTTCCAACCCAGCGGCTGCTGCACTGAAGGAGGACGCTTCTGCTCCTGTAACGCTTACAGCCTCGGAGGCCCCCAGGGCAGGTCCTCCGTGTCTGGTGGGGCTGCTGGGAGTCGGGGTGGACTCCACCACAGAGACACAGAGGTGGGGCAGGCCTGCCCTGTCCTGTGGGCCTTCACGGACACAACGACACAACCACAACCACAACAGTGACCTCGCTCTGGTCCCAGGGTGGGTCCGTGTGCTTTGTAGTGAACAGTGAGGTAACATGGAGGTGAGCCTGCACAGGGTGAGGGGCTGCTTCTCTGAACCCCACACTGGGCTGGGCCAAGGGGCTTGCTGGCAGCCAGCCACAGCTCTGGCAGGGCCGAGGCCCGGGACTCACCAGGTGCATGGCGGAGCTCCGGGGCGGGTGCGGCTCGATGAGCAGCTGAGATGGCGTCTGTCCCAGGTTCTGGATCTGAGCTTCCATGGCCTGCAGGGAAAGGACTTGGCTGTCACAAGGGTAGGGGTGGCCAGCCGTGACAGAGTGGCGGCAGCGGGCAGCCAGCCATCCCCAGTCAGCCTTCTGTCGTCAAGCGTGGGCTCCTCCATCCAGACGTGCCTGTCACGGCATGAGGTGGGCACCTGCCTGGGGAGGCTGCGCGCACAGCAGGGAGCCGGGGCCACACCGCATGCCACGGTAGCAGTGTAGCAGGAGTTCGGTCTTGAGGGGGGAGAAGCAAACCAACAGAAGCCCCCTTGGACACCTCGCTGAGCCGTCAGTGCCGGGCAGAGGCAGCAAGGATGCGGGGATTTTATATAAGACATACAGCGTGCGGACACACTGAAGAATATACAAGCATGGATTTCAGCCTGCTATAACAGGAAAGCATATTTATCTCGGAGGAAGGGTGTTCTCTAGAAGCGAGGGTGGCAGGCTCCCTCAGAGGTCCGTTGGATGTGGTCCCTGGAGACACCTGTCTCTGCAGAGTGGCAGCAGGCCTGCTGAAGTAGAAGGCCAGAGAGAGAGAGATGGACTGGCACAGTGGCCGCAACCGTGGGTTCCGACCTAACAGGGACGGTGTGGACTCGCAGGACCAGGCAGTGCTTCGCTCTGACCACAAGGACGTGGACCTCAGTTTCTTGTTCTGCAATATTATCCCCTGAGTCTGAATCCATTTCTTTTGGTCTTTTCCTGAAACGCTACCAGGACCTAATCGCCAAGGAAGAGAGTCCTTTGTGCCTCCTGACAACTGCGAAGTATTCCTGAGCGCTCCAGGCTTCACACCGATGGAAGCAGTGTGGGAAGGACCTGGGGCAGGCTGGGCCTGGAACGTCCGATGGCCGTGCGGGTCAAATCACTGTCTGAGGGAAACGTGGAGGCGGAGATGCTAGAACAGAAGGACACTTCTGGCAGAAGTGAGCTGTGATTCCAGTCACCCAGAAGCAGCACATCTCCACCACCCTGATGCAGTCCCCTTGAAATGGGGCGCAGTTTCGGCGCCCATAAAAGTGAAATAGGAAGTATGTTTCCCGGGGCTCGGGGTGCAGGTGGCGTGATGGCTCTGCACACAGGGCCTTCCCTGGCGACCATTCCTGCTTCTGACGTGCTCACGTCCAACCATCCGTCCTCTGCCTGCATCCTGAGAAAACATTCACCAATAAAAGTGGGCCTTGCAGATTGATGAGCCCCACTCAGTGTGGCTGCGTCTTTGTGGGCCGTATTTCAGAGGCTGTCCGAGGGCCTCCACATGCAGTGTGGCCCCCTCTCTGCTGCCCCGCGGTTATGCACACATCCATCTGCGGGTGTCCACTGGCACGCACGATGGACGATTTAGCGCTCTGCGGGCACAGAAATGCGCAGGAACGGTGGTTATGAACGAAGCCGCCCGGCTGACAGGCGCAGGAGAGCGGGTCACAGCACTGGTCCCCCACCGGGTGCACTGAGAGAGGCGCCTGGTTAGCAAGCCACCTACCTGCAGATCGGTGTCACCCCCAGGTGGCTTTCAGCAGCCCTGGTGGTGTCAAGGGCTGCTCACTGTGCTGTGGTCTGGGGAAAGGTCTGCCCCCGCACGGCGCGTCCCTGGGCGTGATGTGTTCTGTTCAGTGCTGGAGAGGAGGCACCCCCCTCACTGGACACACAACAGGGTGGTGTGCAGTCCACAGGCAGGATGGCGGTCTCCATCGGCTCCGATGCCCCCGCAGTCCTGCTGCGTGCAGACCCACACGGGGACCTGGGAGCTGAGAGGGAGGGCCCTTCCTGGCAGACTGCATGTTCAGGAACACGCCTTCGCTCCTGGTTTATTGTTGCCATAAAACAAGATCGTAGAAAGCATTACTTTTTAATGCTGGAGAAGCAGAGACAATGCCGTCCTTTGTTAGGCCTGACTGTGTGGCCAGTAAGCGCTGTGAAAGATTAAAGCTCCCTTCTGCATCTGGGCTGTGCTAGAAGCTGAGGGAAGAGTGAGCAGTGCCTTTGTCTCAGGTGGTCTTCGCCCGGCCTGCTGGGGAAACAGCCGCCCCGGCTGTGCGTATCGCGCTGTGCAGATGGGTGCGGGCTTGGCTGGTCCCCTGACTCACTCCTCTACTCACCCCACTCTTTGTAGGGTGAGCCTGATCAAGTGGAAAGGAGCCCTGGTGGCCCAGCGAGCTACACATCAGCTACACGTTGCTGGCTCAGACCCACCAGCCAGTCCGCAGGAGGGTGCGTGGCTGACTCCCCAGTGGGAAGTCTCGGGGCAGGCCACCGTGTCCACTGGGCCTGATGGCAGTGGGGGGACCCTGAGAGGCTGGCCTCTGGTCATGGGCACTCTTCGGGCCACCATTCAGGGTCTGTCCCCTCCTGGCCAGGGCCAGCTTCCTCTCCACATGGTCCCAGCTGCCCTCAGGCACGTGTCTCCCCACGGTCTGGCCCTGCTCTCGGCCCTCAGGAGGCACTTCCCTGGGGCAACTCAGCTCACTGTCCTCGCCCCTTCATGCTGGCCATGTCGTTGTTGGCTCCTTAGCATGGTGACCCCATGGGACAGAGCAGAGCTCCTGGCCACCATGGTAAGGGAGCTGACCACCAGGTCTTTCTCCCCCGGAGCTGAGGGGTGGGTGTCAGCTGGGAGTTCTTTTACACACAGCTGTGCCCGCTGGTCAGATGGTTGTGAACACACAAGATGGTCAGTGTCAACAAGAAATGTGCACATAGCTGTGGGGGGTGCGGCGGGCCTTCACAAAGTGTGTGGGGGAATTCCACGATCTGTTCATGCCGTGGTCTCCATCTCTCCACAAAGACAACGGGACGCAGGGCCCTTGCTGAAGGGCAGACGCATCCGGCCTCCTCGTGAAGTCCAAGGGGGTGTTGTTCATGGCGCTCCCGTTCGGTGGGGAGGGCGGCAGGCAGGGCACAGGGCTATCTCGGCTTACAGCTTCCTCCTCCTGGGCTCTGTGACCAAGGTGCCGTGACCCCAGCACCTGTGAGGCAAGCGGGAGGGCAGGGTCGCTAACAGACACTTCTGTGCACGCGTGTGCACCTCAGGAGCAGGGCCAGTCGTGTCCAGTCAGGAACATTCCGTGCAGGCAGCCTGCTCGCCGAGGTTGTGGGCTGCCCTCGGGGGAAACTCGGAGACACTGGCGAGAAGGAATTTTTAAAAATAACAGCACATTCCTGGCAACCAAAGGATAGCACAAACCAGAGTGATTGACTGCACTTCTTGGTACCATTGCTGTGCTTGGTTTTATTCATCTTTCAGGTCACGTCCAGAGAAAGCATCGATGAGAGCATGTTTTTCTGTCCTTTGTTTTTTAGGGAGACTTCATTAAATCGCGCCGTTAATAAAACACACTCGTGCCATCTGGTCGATTCCGACTCTTGGAGACCTTACAGGACGGTGGAGTAAAACTGCCCCTGTGGGTTTCCAAGCTGTAGACGCCTCGCTTACTCTGCGGAGCGGACGGTGGGTTCGAGCCGCTGACCTTGCTGCGACAGCCCGGCATGCCACTCGCTGTGCCGCCAGGAGGAAAGATGAGTTGTCCAGGGTTTCATCGTGCTCGGACCCACCCTCCGTGCACATGGGCAGCAGTCGGGAGAGTAAACGCATCGCACGGGTGAAGCTCATGCAGAGACCTCTACAGTGTGGAAGAGATGAGTGCTACTGTGAAGATGAAGGCGCACCCGGCCCGAGCCAGGGTGTTTTCAATGGTGTCACATGAACAGGACAAACCAATCCATCTGGGAAGGGGCACCGCCAGGACGCTCCTTGGAGGCAGGGATGGCGAGACTGACTCTGGATGGGCTGTCAGGTCCCTGAGAGGGGCATCATGGTTGGCAGAGTGGAGGGCGACCTCCTCGTGATGGATGGACATGGGCTGCAGTGATGGGCTCCCAGGGTGGTGCAGGACAGGGCGGGGTCTCTTACTGTTGTCTGACGGACTGGGCGGCACAGTGAACCTTCTCACAACTTCCCTGCGATTCCCCACGGCCCGGGGGCTGGTATCACTCTGTCCGAGGGAGGGCAAGGTTCATAAAAAGCAAGGGCCCAGCGAATGCTCCCCAGCCCTTGCTGGTGGCGGCAGTGGGCAGCAGCAGCTCAGCTGCACTCACTCCAGATCTGTGCCCACCTCTCATGCCCGACCCTGAACCTGCTCAGAGGAGGCAGACGGGCTTAGAGAATTATGTCTGTAATTATGTCGGTGTAATATTGTTTTCAAACAACTTTACAGTACAAAATTATAAAAGCACAGGAAACCAGTTCTTGGGTGACCTGTATGTCATTAGCCAGCTCAGTCACCAGCTAGGGACCCCTGGTGGCCCGTGGGGCGAGCAGCAGGCTGCTCCCCGAAACGTCGGTGCTTGGACGCACAGCTACTCGGATTGTGGAGGGGGATTGGCAGCAGTGGGTCTGTAATTAACCAATGATTAACTGTGGCATAACCTAGAGCAGGCATCCTCAGACTATGGCCCACCGAGGACATTTATCCGGCCGGCCGGGTGTTTTTGCCCCATTTTGTTTTTCACTTCAAAATAAGATATGTGCAGTGTGCATAGGAATTTGTTCATAGTTTTTTTT